ATTGGAAATTTCTCCCTATAGAGCAAGCATGTGTGACTCTCTGGAGCGTCTCCTTCCAGAAAGGCTCGGTTCTTGTGTAGCACAAAAAGTAGGAGGTGTGCCTAAAAGGGGATCAGAAGAAAAATTTGCAAAAAAAAAAAAAAAAAAATTCACTCCACCAATAATTCTCTTCTGATATTCTCCATGAGGACTGGAAAGTGCATTTGGCAATGTCTGTGCAAGAGTTTTAATTTCAGCTCAGCTTCTAAAACCGTCAGCACATCACACGGTGAACAAAGCTCCTTCTGCAGCCTTTCATCATCCAAGTCTTTACTGTTCTTGCCTCCAGCCCAAAAAAGCAAGACTCACCCTATATCTCTAAACAGGGACACATAAAATAATCCGTTTGTTCAGATACCCATCTCCGACTGCAGACCAGGTTGAATGAGAGCAGGAAGGAAGGAGGCGAGACCACAGCCACAGCCCCGTGTCCTGGCCTTGTGAGGTCGGTGCACCCAACACACCGGCACTTCCTCCTGCATCTCTGACCAAGACTGCGCTTTTCCAATAGTTTCGAAAACTAGAAGGTCACACAAAACAAGAGGACCCTTCTGGTCCAGCGCGGCTGGACTCTGCTGCCCGGTTTCCTCGATGCCCCCGTTGCTCTTGGTGGTCCCCACTGTCCTCACCACCACATCCACGCGTGCAGCTTTCTCTCTACAGTGGACTTGAGGAATATGTAGCTCTTCCGAGGCAGATTTTTTAACATCCCATTGTCTCCTGAAGTGTTCCCTTCCCTGTTCCCAGAACTCAGGTCTTTGTTTGGCCAAGTTTGCCTGATGATAATGAAATGATGTTTACCTTTTATTAAGTTCTTATTATGTGCTGCTTTCCCTGCTAGAGAACTCTGTTTCCTTCCTACTACCCAGCATGAGAGGCCTAATTATCTCCTGTTTTGCATCTGAGAAAACTGAGATTCATGGGATTAAACTAGCCCAAAGTAAGAGAGGCTCCCATGGAAGGGCCGGATGCACTTTCTCCTGAAACTGGGAGCCTTTGACCCTCCATCAGGGAAGTCACAGTGCAGAATGGCTTTTATGGAAGGGTTTTTGCAGGGTTTCAACCGCCAACTGATTTTTTTTATTTTCACAGAATTTTTATAAATTTGCTTCTGAATCTACACGGAACCTCACACAAAGTATAAAACTATAGCCAAATTTAAGTTAGTGAGCAAAGAAGAAAGTGTGTGTGTGTGGGGGGGGTGGCGTGACTATGGAAGAATTGATACTTTAAACCCTGGAGAATTCCATGGCCTAGGTGTCTACTCATCTTACCCTAAAATAGATGGCTGATTCTGTTTTTATTCCTCCAAATTAACTGCATACAGGAAAGTCACACCATTGAAGGTTTTCCTGTCTCTATAGCAAAGGTGTCAAATTATCCCAGGACCCACTGTGTGTGGTTGCTGAGCCTGGGGCCACAGGACACCAGCCAAGGAGAGTTCAGTAGCCCATGGCCAGCCTGCCCACCTTCTCTCCACCCATGTGGTGGAAGTCTCCAGAGAAGCCTTGGGAAAGATACTTGATGAAACTGCCTTCGTACCCTCTTCCTTTGCCTGGAACATCTGGCTGAGGCTGGGTTTCCCAAAAGGAGCCTTGAGCTTGGAGCAAGGGTTTGGGCACCAGTGGTTCCTTCAGGAAGGTGGGTGGGGTGAGCAAAGGGGCACTCCCAGGTGAACCTCAGGCTCCGCTTGACCCTGGGCTCTGGGTGCACCTTACATGCCGGGGCTTATCACAGCTTGGAGCAAAGGAGACCTGCCCAGGTGTGTGTTAGTGACACATGCTTTGGTTACTGGTAACCCAAGTACAAAATCTCCCCTCTTAGGCTCTTTCTGTACCTGTAACAGCCTTCTGAGAGCAGCAGTTGCCATTATCACTTTAATGACTCTTCTTCCAAGAGCCAGCCAGGCTCCCTGCTTGCAAGTTGAATCCCAGGGAACAGATTTGAATCTGCACCTCTCCGAGACCCTAATTATCCCCAGGGAGGCAATAGAAGGGAGCCCACTAGCTGTGAATTACTAATGTAGCGCTAAATGATTCCCCGCCATAGCAAAGTGTTGCCAAGTGGTTCTTCTGGAAATGCAGAAGAGAATCATGTGAAAAATTCCCAGAAAGCCTGATTTCAAATAACTCACAGCATTTGGAAAAACAGCACATCATCCATCAAGAGCCTTGGGAAGAGGCCTTTCCTCATTGTCAAGATAATTAGCTAGCAGCCATATCTGCTGTGGGTACACTCTGTGGATGTTGGGGTTTACTGAAAAACAAAAACACCAAAGATGAAAGCAAGGGTGTGGTCCAGAAGATGGTCTGCCTCTCACCCCACAGGTGGGGCCCATGTCTCTGATGTTCAAAGTCGAGACACATTTAACAACTAATGCTGGCCTTTGAAGAAGTTCTCTTTTCAACTTTATCAGGCAAGTCCACAGACGTGTTTTACAAGGCCCATAGACCAAAAGAAACAAAGAGGAAAAGAAAAGGAAGAGGAGATCAATCCTACTGCTGTGAGAGAATCCAGGTCAATTTTATAGATTCACCCCCACAGGAAATCCACAGAAGTACGAAATGTGAGAGACATCGGTTAAAAGAAAAGTCATACCGAGTATCAAAATAAGTTAAAATGCTATATATTTACAGTTCAATAAATGGAACATATCCCAGGTCTTTACCAAAATCAATTTCTGTGGCATCTCAAAGAAGCTTCTGTGGAATTCCAGTAATGCTTTAGAAAAAAATCCTATACAACCATGCTTCTAAGGAAAGAAGCAAGGCCTGGAGGCCAAAATCTCCACTTTGCTCCCCAAGATTCCAATCAGTTTTACTTGAACAAGCTATTTCATTCAGTTCACACTGATGAACCTTCACCCAATCACTAGAAGCTTTGTGGTCTGGGATACAGGTTTTAATTGTCTTCATAATGTACTTGGAGAGACACCAGGGAAATTGTGCACAAAAGGCCTCTTGTACCGGGTGCTGATAAAACAAAGATTTTGAGCAGCATGTACCTTGGGAATCTCCACTCCAATGGGCTGCCTTCTGTCTCCTCTTTTCTGTGAGACCGTGTTTCTCACTGTTTTCCTTTTCTGTCAATATTTATGTAGATGTCAACCTACCCCTTCCCTCTCTGTAAGTGTTGCTTTTCTTCAGGGCTGTTACGTAAAAACAAAGGTTCAGTCAAAACTCATATTTTTTATCTTATCTCTATTTGCAGGACTTGGGTGCAAACTTTATGGGAGTGTCAAAGAGCTCAGTAATCAAGACAAATGATGTCTCGAGGCAATGTTTTGCAAACTCAAAATGAATGTGAACAAAAGAACTCAGGATGAATAAAATATCAAAATTTTAATATCTCATCCCTGATAGGGGCTCTGCAGTGGTCATACGTCCTCATTAGTACTTCCCCGAACGTGATAGGTTTATGTCTCTGGCTCCCACGTGGGCATGGTGGGGCCAGGGAACTAGTTCTGATCACTAGAGTCCAAAGGAGCATGCGGTTGCCAGTTCAAGACCTTCCTGAGAGCTCGTCTTCTCTCATCTCCCAGCAACTGCCAAACGACTGGACCAATAACACTGCCCTGGGAGGCCCCAGAAAGATTCGGTTGAGCAGACCCTCCCCGCCCCCCCAAAAAAGGGCATGTAGAATGAGCAAGGAATGAACTTATTTGAAGGCACTAAGGTTCTGAAGATGCTTGTTACCGCAGCTGATGGAGGCTCATGACCCATACAGACTACAAACAAGTTTGCACTAGGCAAGTAAGTGCTCCATTCTTCAGCTGAGAGAAACCAAGCTGTGCCCACCAGCCAGTGCAGTCTTGCCTTATTGCCTAAAAGAAAACTGCTTCTTCTACCCTTCCCTGCTCTCCTGCAGATTTCAGTCTTAAGACTGAGGGCTTTGTAGATAGACAAATGTAAATTTGAAAACCCCGTTTCACCTCTTACAAGCACCCTGGATTTAAGGCATCTCATGAGCAAAACCCTTAGTTGCCAGATCTATAAAATAAGGCTAGGTATACCTCCCACGCAGAGTTGCTAGAGAATTAAATGAGATAACACATGAAAACACCTGGAACACAGGCGATAATGCACTTTAATCCAGTTGTGCACCTGACATGCTCATTAAAAAGCAAATAACTGCATCACCCCCAACCCAACTCAGCAGGTCCGTGCCCAAGTCTGCGTTTTCACAGCGCCCCCTGGTGGTTTTCCAACAGAACCACCTTAATAAGCCCTGGGTTCCTATGTGTGAATTTATTTTCTTTGCTTAGAAACACTGGGATAAGGTTACTCTCAAGTCAGTTTGCAACAACCCAGAAAAGCAAAAGAAAAAAATCTAGGTATATTTGAAAAGAAAGTGTTCCTTACCAGTCTTAACACATTCAGACTGAAGAGAGTTTTCAACTGTGGTTAGAATGTTGTGCCCCCCCTAAAATTCATATGGAGCATTGAGAACTGATCAGAGGCCTTCCTGAATGGGGTCAGTCCCCTTATAAAAGAGGCCTGAGACCCCTGGGTCCTTCCATGTGAGACATGTGGGACAGACACAGTAAGAAGCACCATCTATAAACCAGGAAGCAACCCTTGCCAGACTCCAAATTCACCAGTTCATCTTGGACCACCCAGCCTCCAGAGCTGTGAGAGGACAGTTTCCATTGTTCATAAGCCATCTGGTCTCTGGCACTTTGTTATAGTAGATTGAACTGACTGCGTCATTTAGAGATCGTGGGGATAAGCAAACTTTATGGTTTTCTTGAGTATAAAAATCTTACTTGCTTCATCCTCACGTGGGCAAAGACATCCACAGGCTGAAGGTGAAAGGATGGGAGAAAACTTATCACTCATATGAACTGAGTAAACAAGCAGGGGTTTCCATTCTCATCTCAGATAAAGTAGACTTCAAACCAAAGTTAATCAGAGAGACAAAGAATGACATTTCATACTTCTTAAGGGAAATATATATAAACAGGACATAACAATTATAAATATTTATGCCCAATGGACCATCTATGTACATCAAGAAAATCTTTCTCAATTTTGAGAGTCAAATAGACCAGAATACAATAATGCTGGGTGACTTTAACACACCTCTTTCACTACTGGACAGATTTTCCAAACAAAAACTAAATAAGGAAACTAGAACTAAATAATACAATCAATAATTTAGACTTAACAGTCATAAATGGAATATTTCATCCATCAATGAGCTAATACACTTTCTTCTCAGTCAGCAGCACATGGCTCCTTCTCTAAAATAGACCTTATCTTATGCCACAAAGCAACTCTTAGTAAATACAAAAATAACAGAGATAATATCCTACATTCTATCAGACCACAATGGAATGAAATTAGAAATCAATGATAAAATAAAAAATAGAAGCTACTGTAACAAATGGAGACTAAATGATACACAATTGAATAATGAATGGATAGTCAAGGATGAAATAAAAATATTCTTAAAGGTAAATGAGAATACTGATACAAACATATCAAAATCTCTGGGACACTATGAAGGAAGTACTAGGAGAAAAGTTTATTGCATTGAGTGTATTCATTAAAAGAATAAAAAGTCAAAATAAATTATCTAATACTACATCTCAAAACCCTAGAAAAAGAAGAACAAATCAACACCAAAAACAGTAGGAGAGAGGAAATAATTAAAATTAGAGCTGAAATTAATTCAATTGAAACAAAAGAAACAATTGGAAAAATTGACCAAAAAGTTGATTCTTTGAAAAATAAATAAATAAAATGCATGAACCCCTGGCCATGCTAACAAAGAGAAACGCAAATTACTAAAATACAAGATGAAGAAGGAAATATCACAATGGAGCGTCTGAAATACAGAAGATAATTAGACACTATTTTGAAAGTTTACATTTTAATAAAATAGAAAATATCAAAGACATTGACAAATTTCTAGACACATATGGCCTACCCAAACTGAAATATGAGGTCATAGATGATTTAAACAGATCAATTTCAAGTAATGAAATAGAAAACACCATCAAACGCCTACCAACCAAGAAAACTTTCAGCCAAGTTCTATAGAACTTTCAAAGAAGAATTAACTCCAATACTCTTCAAAGTATTCCATAAAAATAGAAAAAAAGGGAACCCTTCCAAACTTATTCTATGAGGCTAATATCACCCTGATACCAAAACCAGATAAAGACACATCAAGGAAGGAAAACTTCAGACCAATATCCCTGATGATCATAGAGGCAAAAACTCTCAATAAAATTCTGGCAAATCACATACAAAAACATATTTAAAAGATAGTGCACCATGATCAAGTGGGATTCATCCCAGGGATGCAGGGTTTGTTCAACATACAGAACTCAATGAATGTAATTCATCATATTAATAGACTTAAAAACAAGAATCATATGATCATCTCATAGATGCAGAAAAAACTTTTGACAAAATACAGCACACCTTTATGTTCAAAACACTAGAAAAACTAGGGATAGTAGGAACATATCTCAACATTGTAAAAGCTATATATGCTAAACCCAAGGCCAGCATCTTTCTAAATAGAGAAAAATTGAAAACATTCCCTCTAAAAGTTGGAACAAGACAAGGATGTCCTCTTTCACCATTTCTATTCAATATCATCCTTGAAACTCTAGCCAGAGAAATTAGACAAAAGAAAGAAATTAAAGGGATGCAAATAAGTAAAGAAGAACTCAAACTATCACTATTTGCTGATGGCATGATTCTATATCTAGAAGATCCAAAAAATTCCACCAGAAAACTTCTAGAATTAATAAATGAATTTAGCAAAGTAGCAGGTTATAAAATCAACACCCCAAAATCAAACGCATTTCTATACATCAGCATTGAATCCATGAAAGGAAAACTACTGCATTCACATTAGCCTCAAAAAACAAACAAACAAACAACAATAAAAAAAAATACACCCTGGGAATCAATCCAACAAAAGAGATGAAAGACCTTTACAATGAAAAAAACTACGGAACCCTAAAGAAAGAAACTGAAGAAAACCTCAGAAGATGGAAAGATCTTCTATGCTCCTGGAGAGGCAGAATTAATATTGTCAAAATGACCATACTGCCAAAAGCATTATACGGATTTAATGCAATTTCTATTAAAATCTCAATGACATTCTTCATAGAAAGAGAAAAAACAATTATGAAATTTATTTAGAAAGATAAAAGACCCAGAATAGCTAAAGCAATCTTTAGCAAGAAAAGCAAAGCAGGAGGTATCACAATACCAGAACTTAAACTATACTACAGAGCAATAGTAACAAAGATGGCATGGTATTGGCACCAAAATAGACTTGTAGACCAATGGTACAGAGTAGAGGACACAGAAACAAACCCACATTAATACAGTTATCTCATACTAGACAAAGGTGCCAAAAACATTCACTGGAGAAAAGATAGTCTATTCAACAAAAGGTGCTGGCAAAACTGGAAATCCATATGTAGCAAAATGAAAGTAAACCTCTCTCACCCTGCACAAAAATCAACTCAAAGTGGATTAAAGACTTAGGCACTAGAACAGAGACCCTGTGCCTAATAGAAGAAAAAATAGACCCAAATCTTCACCACGTCAGCCTAGGATCTGACTTCCTTAACAAAAATCCTTAACAAAAAATTCAAGAAGTAAAATAAAAAATCAATAAATGGGATGGATTCAAATTAAAAAGCTTCTTCTCAGCAAGGGAAACAATGAAGTGAGAAGAGAGCCTTCAGATTGGGAGAAAATCTTTACCACATGCATCTCCAATAAAGCATTAATCCCTAGGACATATAAAGAAATAAAAAAAACTTAACACAGAAAAACAAATAACCCAGTCAATAAAGGGGCTAAGAAACTGAACAGACAGTTCACAGAAGAAGAAATACAATTGATCAACAAATATATGTAAAAGTGTTCAAAATCTCTAGCAATTAGAGAAATGCAAATCAAAACGACTCTAAGACTTCATCTAACTCTTGCCAGAATGGCAATCATCAAGAATACAGGCAGCAATAAGTGTTGGTGAGGATGTGGGGGAAAAGGTACACTCATACACTGCTGGTGGGACTGCAAATTGGTGAAACCACTATGGAAAGCAGTATGGAGATTCCTCAGAAAACTGGGAATGGAATCACCATTTGACCGAACTATCCCACTACTTGGTTTATACCCAAAGGACTTGAAATCAGCATATTATAGTGATGCAGCCACATCAATGTTTATAGCAGCTCAATTCACAATAGCTAGACTATGGAACCAGCCTAGGTGCCCTTCAACAGATTCAGTAGATGAATGGATAAAGAAAATGTGGTGTATATAGTCAGTGGAATATGCTCAGCTTTAAAGAAGAGTGAAATTATGGCATTTGACAGTAAATTGTTGGAGTTGGAGAATATCATGCTAAGCAAAATAAGCCAATCCCACAAAACCAAAGGCCAAATTTGTTTTCTCTAATATGCAGATGCTAATTCACAGTAAGGCAGGGGACACTAGGGAAGATAACGTTACCTTAGATTAGGTAGAGGGAAGTGAAGGGGGAAAAGGGGAGGAGATGTGGGGATAGGAAAGATAGTAGAACAAAACAGACATTATTACTGTGTGTATGTATGTGACTGCATGACCAATGTGATTCTGCAACATGTACACTCAGAAAAATGAGAAATTAATCCCTTCTATGTATGGTATATCAAAGTACATTAATGCATTCTATTGTCATGTATAATTAATTAAAACAAAAATATTTGAAGAAAAGGAAAATCTTATTTGCATTAGGAAATCCATAAAGCATGCCCACACACCTACTGGGCTGGTTTCCGACTATCTGGAGAACTGTGCTGGTATAAAACTTCCATGTCTCCATGTTGAACCAAGGAGAATGAACATTCCAATGAGTCTGAGTTACTAAGGGAAGCCCTGGCCATGTCAAATTTCTTGGTCGATATCATTTGAATCTTATTCTGATGTGGGAAATCAAACTCACCTTGAATTTCTAGAGGACAAAACTGACATCTACTTGAATCAGTCATAATCATCAGCCCAACAGGTGATGTCATCACATCTCATTGTCCATCTCAGTTGAGATGAGCTGCAGGAGGGTCTTCTCTGCTGCCTCTGATGCCCGACTTATAGAAACCATCCTTGAGCTCAATGCCTCGGGTAGCCTGTCGGCATCCCTGGGGAGCTAAGGCGGTGTCCCTCCTGGGCAACTGAGAGTCATTTGAAGGCTATGAACATGAGGCATGAAAGGTTAGGGTCCGCCCTCTTTTTCATGAAACACAATAGATATGAGGAAGGCCTGGAAGTAAACTCAGGGTTCATGACTTGCAAAAGGATGAGAATAACGTCTGTCCTAAAGGGAAAGACCACAGTAAAATCGACCCTTGCCAGCCATTTCTCAGGGCACAGGTGCCCCAGAACATCGGCAGCAGAGGCTGCCCTGCCCCACCCACCTCCTGTTCCACCATACCGCAGAGATGGGCGGAAATGACACTCCTCGGTCTCCCTGTGATGCACGTGGCCCCTGGGGTGACTCATAGGGACCCATAACAATGTTGTGGCTTAAAACACAGAATTGTACTGTCTTGTGGTTCTGGAGGCTGGAAGTCCCTGACCAATGCGTTGGCAGGCCGTGGTCCCTGGTGGACCTGTGTGGGGACGCTCCCTGTCTCTTCCAGCTGCTGTTGGTGGCCAGCTGTCTTTGGCATTTCCTAGCTGGCAGCACCCCACTCCTGTCCATCCCCACTGGGGTGTGGTGCTTTAGGGTGTCTCTGTCTTCACATGGCTGCCTTCTCGTAAGAACACTGGTCACACTAGATCAGGTCTATCCCTACATCAGGGTGACCTCCCTTAACTACACACACCTGCCTTGGCCCTATTTCTGAGACACTGGGGGACTGGGACATCTGCATAGCTTTTTCGGGGACATACAGTCCAACTCATAACAAGGTAAAGCAGAAGTTGCTGGTAAGGCTTCTCAAGAAATTCTTTAACTAGAACTGACTGACTGAACCCAAAAGAGGGGCGACTTGCACGGAGGCTTTGGCTCTGGTAGAGCTCAGCACTAGGCTGCTGTGGTGGATGCCACATCCTGTGCTTTCTGGTCCCTGGATCTGCGGTGTGGCCCTTCCAACTTGCAGCAAGGCAGGGAGGAGGTGGCTCTTCTGCACCTCCTTCACACCCACTGCTCCACCTTCTGTTACTCCAAGGATGTCACCTTGGTGGAAGGAGGGTATGTTAGGATTCAGTTCAACTGCAAGTAACAGAAATCCCACACAACGACATAAGCAAGATGGTGGGATTTTTTTAAAAGTCTCACAGAGGAGGGAAATTGCACAATCCTCAGAGATTCGGGCTCTTTCCAGTCCTACCTCTTTTTTCCCTCTCCTTACTGTAGGTTGCTAGAAATCAGTAATTACACTAATGTTCCAGGTGACACTTATTTTCCAGGCAGCAAAAAGGAGGAGGGTGCAAAGGTGAAGTGGGACACTCCCTAAGCAGATGACACCCCTTCCTTCCCTAGGGCTCTGAAGCAGGGTCATCAAATGTTTCTGCAAAAGGTTGCACAGCAAACACTGTAGGCTTTGAGGACCGTGCTGTGTCTGCACAACTGCTCCACCCTGCCAGTGCCACCAAAGGCATCTAGAGGCAGTGCACGAACAGAGGGCCATCGCTGTTGCTGTGAGTCCCCTCCAAACATCAAGAGCTGCCAGTGTGATGATAGCAGGGGTGGGGCCTCTGTGGGTGACTGGGCCACCAGGCCCTCCTCATGGGTAGGACTTATAAAAGGCTCCCTGCATCGTTGGACCAGCTGGCCCTTCTCTAAGAGCCATGTGAGGATGCAGGGCCTGTCCCCGCCTGTCCACCTTCTCCTTCACATAGCAGGCAACAGGAGACCCTCATCAGATGCCCAGTACTGGCTCCTTGAATTTCTATGATAAATGAATTTTTGGTTTTATAAATCACCCAATCTTGGGTATTTTGTTGGCATGACATGAGTTTTTTGGTTTTTTTGTTTTGGAACAGCTGTGTTCCAAATAAACCTACTTACACAAATAGGAGTGGACTGAATTGGACCTGTGGCCACAAGTCACTGACCCTCTGGTCTAGTGTTCGACCCTCTCTCATTCACACTGGTGTCCGTAAAGACCCTGGAGACATAGGAACAGCTTCTGTGCCCTCTGACCAACTAGGCCCAACTGGAAGTGATGAAAATCTTACCTGAGTTGGTGACGGTGGAGCCAGCCCTGGGCTATGGGCCCAGGCTGGTCTGAATCAAAACTAATTCCACTCTGGGAAGCTTCCCACACCCCTTCCCACTTTAAATCTTGCCCTGGGTTCTCCATTATGTATTAGATAGAATCCTTATGTCACAGATATTATTGGAATCCTGCTACACCTAGTTTTTGTGATCTCAGTCTTCCTCAAGCCATTCCAAAGCAACTAGGGAACATCAAAACCCCTTTGAAAGTAGCAGCACATGGCCCCACCATACGCACAGGGGTCAACAGAGGTCAGGGTTTGGCCATCTGTAACCCACAGACCGAATCTGGTCTGTTTGTATCAATAAAGCTTTATTGAAACCTGGCCCATGCACACACTGTTTCTGGCTGATTTTGCACTATGCTGGCCGAGTAGAGGAGTTGTGGCAGAGAGCAGATGACCAGCAAAACCTGAAGTGTTTACACTCTGGCTCTACAGAAAAAGCCCGCAGAGTCTCATCCAGGCAGCAGTCCAGGCTGAGAGATGCCAGGCTTGGTGGCAATGCCAGTCGGGGATCTGCGCCCACCACCTTGAGAAACCACTCTGTGGGCTCCTCACAGTCATCCTCGTGGGAAACCAAGGCCATCCTTCAATTCTCCCTCCTTGGAACACAAACAGCCAACGTGGAGGGCCAGTTCCCCAATGTAAACCCCCAGGGACCTCCAAAGGACCCACTAAATCAACTCTGCTTCTTGGCCCTCAGGAAACAGATCTGCCATACAGCACAGTGTCCGTCCATCTGGGCATTAGCTCCCATGTCGTTTGCTCACTTAAGAGCAGCGAGCCTGACTGGGGACGTACTGAGACACTGGAAGCCCAGAAGTCCCTGTGAGGTGGGCTGCCAGTGCTTGGCCCTCCGCTGCTCTCGCTGCGGTGCCGGGCCAGCTCAGCAGGCTAACGAAGGGGCCTCCAGGGTTCAGGGGGAGGACCCATCCGTGCTCACAGCGCAGGAGGGCCTGGAAAGCTCAGAAGAGAATCAAGATCACAGAAGAGCTGCCCAGGGTGCAGAAGTAGGGTCTTATGGGTCAGTAAAAAGGGCAGCATGATTTTGTCCTTTGACACAGCCCCCTGGGGACTCATGCCTGTGTCCTGATTGGGGGACTGTGACAAAAGCCAAGCAAAATATAAATAAGCTATTTCATCAGAATCCCCATGTGACAGTGAGAGCATACGGCAGTCACTCTTAAGGATTTCCCCTCAATGAAGGAAGCCATAAACAAGGAAAGGAGACAGATGGTCCACTCTAAGAAGTTATTTTCACTGTATAAAACAACAAGGGATCAATGTCTAGAATAAACAAAGAAGTTTTGTAAATTATTTAAAAAAAAAAAACAGTAAGTGGTTAGCAAAAGGGGCAGCAGCCAGCAAGTACACACAGAGATGCTGAAAGCTGCTGGTGTGGAGAAAAGAGCAGAACCGTGGTGGAAAACCAACCTCAGGGTGGGGCTTGGGAGGGGATACAGAGGGGGCGGGGCCTGTGAAGGAGGGAGCCGCCCCAGAACTCACGCAGCCCTGATTTAGGTTCCACTCTGGACTGTCACTCCAGGCCCAGGGGCCACGTACAAGGACGCCCACTGAGGTCTTGTCTGTGTCTCACCGAGGACGAGGCAACCTGTTATCACTGGAGAAATGGCTGCCCCCAGATGACACAGATGGCAGAGGTAGGCTGGGTTGGTGCAGGGCACGGGGAGAGGTGCCAGATGCCAGTGCGTGGCAACCAAGGGGAGCGTGCGTGCGTAGAGCTCCTCAGGGAGGTCACACTCACACACACACAGCCGCTTGCTCCAGGCACACCATCTTGCTGGGGTCCTTGGAGTCTGAGCGAGGATTCAGAGACCAGCACACACTGAGGGAGAGCTTCCTGGGGAAGGCCAGGCCAGGGGCAGAACAGGACAAGGGAAGGCGCTCAGCCAGGGTGTGGGCCTGGGGAATGCCCAGGGAGGTCTGGGGTGAAACCCAGGCCCAGTGCCCTCGCCTCAGGTGCTGGCCTTTTGTGCCCTCTATGAGACACCCAGTGGCTGGGGCCTCCCCAGAGGGCAGCTCCCTGCAGCGAGAGCTGCTGTCACCATCCAGAGGGAGGCACCTGTCTGCAGCACCACTCCAGCTGCCAGGGTCAGGACTCCACCTGGCCAAGGGGCTGGGTGGGCTCCGTTCACACCTGCAGATGCAAACACGGGTTGAACTGGTTCCAGCAGGTACCACGGAGGCCGGGAGAGGAGCGGAGAGGAGCGGGACTGCCATGAGGAGGAAACCAGAGAATGTCTAATAGAGCAGCATCTCAGACAGAGTGAGGGTGGAATGTTCTGGAAATAAGAACAGGATTAACTCACCTCTGACCTAAGCTCCCCCCGCCCTCGCAACTTATTCAAGAGAGGGAGGCCCGGGGGGCGGTGGGTGCTGCAGTTACCTGGAACCTGTCGGTGATGTGAACAGGATGGGCATCCTGCCACCTGCTGGCAGACGGCACAGCGCAGCCCAAGCCAGGCATGCTGAGAGGCAGAGGCTCCAGCGAGAACTCAGATCCCCTGTCCGTCAGGTAGGGTACCTACAGTCACGAAGCACCTGCTCACGGAGGCAAAGAGAGCAGCAAAAGCAGAGGTGGTGCTAGGCTCCGCTCTGCGTGGCCCACACAGAAGGGGCAGAGAGGAAGGGGCTGCAGAAGGACGTCACAGGGCAGGACAGCGAGGCAGGAACCACAGTGAGGAGATGAGAGACATCTTACAAGGATAGGTTCCTGCACCATGGAGTGAAGGTTTCCAACCAAATCCAGGCCCAGGTGAGTGTTGGATGTTGTATTGGAAACTGCTGCTGGTGGTGGCCTGTCTTGCCCGGGAAAGCAGAAGACACCCAAGAAACTGTGACCACATCTGTGTGCGTGCACATCTGCACACACAGGGGCTCACCTGTGCCTGCTGCGGGTGCAAGAGTGTGCACAGGCACACGTGACAGTACCCCCTTCTCTCTTCTGAGTCCAGCTGTGTCTCTCGTGCCTGGTAGAGTGGTGTTGGGGACTCCTCTTTCCCACAGACTTCCAGATAAACAGCTCTTTGGAGTTCTGTCCACAGCTGTTCCCTTCTAGAGGCTTAGACACAGGTCAAGGGGTAGGGCTCAGGAATCCGCCTTTGAAGTCACACCTCCCAATCCCCAGCCCACCACACAGACCCCTTCACTTCCTTGCCCAACCTCAAAAACCCCACATGGAAACTCGCTTCCCCAAACCTCTCCTAGTCCACCTGCCCTCAGGCGGTCAGTCCTGCCCAGACCCAAGGAGAGCCCACCCACCCACGAGCTCAGGCCAGCCAGTCTCAAGGCGTGGTCCTGGGACCAGCAGCAGCAGCTCTGGGAGTCTGTTAATGCCAGCTCCTGGGCTCCACCCCAGACTGACTCTCCGGAGTTCCCAGGCTCTCTGGGTGACTCCCAGGGGGTTAAAGCTGGACCATCACAGGTCACTGGGGCCTCATCCTGTGATGAGGCTCTGTCTTCAGAGAAGCGTCCCAAGAAGCACAACCTGAGACAGGGATTCAGGAACAGGGGACAACAGAGTGCTATAGCACTTCCTAGAGGAAGAGGAAGGGAAGCAGGACAGGGCAGAACAGGGGACGAGGACAAGGCCTCTCCTGGAGAGCCCCTCAGCCTGCCTCCCAGGAGAGCCCCAGAGCAGAGCACCAACTGCGCCACCGAGCTGGTCCCACCGGAAGCAGAGGAACACCAAATCGGCCAGTGAGCCACCAGTGAGCCACCACAGGAGCTGCAAGGCCTCCTGGGGGAGGCAGCTTCGTCCCGTCCCAGGAGAGGGATAATAAGGAGCACAGCTCTGGCCATCGGAAGCTCAGACCAGACCACAGCTGCTGGGAGCTCAAGCCCAGCAAGAGGAGCGTGCCGCCCTCAAGACGTCTGACCAAGGGGGGTCACCAATGGGTGGGGGTCCTAGTCTCCTAGAGGTTCTGTAGTGAAGAAGTAGAAGCCAGTGGATTAAAACAGCAGATTAAAACAGTGGATTAAAACCTCACAGCTCTGGGTGTGTGTGTGGGGGGGGGGGTTCTGTGGGCCTGGCTCCCTCCACAGCCTTGTCCAGCTTCTGGTGGCTCCAGCCCACCATGCCCTGTGCACCTCACCTTGGAGGATGGCCCACTCCAATCTCTGCGTTCACCCTTGCATGGCCTTCTCCCTGCGCATCTGTGCCTGTGTCCTCTCTTAAAAAGACCAGTTTAAGTTTAGGGTCCACCCTCGTCGAGCTGATCCTTTACTTATGAAGACTGTTCCAAACAAGGTCCCCGTCACAGGTAGGGGGGCTAGAACTTCAACACAGCCTCTTGGCAGTCACAACTGAACCCAAGACACTGAGGATAACTGAAGAGGTCACATCCCTAACAGACACAGAGGCCACCTCACCCAGAGACACTGCAGCCACCTCGCTGTTAGCTCCTGGATGAGAAGGCTGCTAATAAAAAGCACTGGGGCCAACTTTCAGCTGCTAAAAGAACCACAATCACCAGGGCCAAGTGGCTAAAGAAAAGGAGCACTTACACTTGAAGGGACACCCTCTGGCTGCTGTGCTTCTCAGTAGACAGGGCCGCGTTTGGCCCCCGAGGGTGTCAGGCAGACAGCAGAGGAGGCAGCGTGATCTTTCCACATGAAGAACAGGACCCTGGAAAAACAGCCGCGATGCCCTTGGAGCCAGACCATGCTGCGGATTCCCACAAGCGGTCCTCCTCCTCCGAAGTTCTTCTTTTCAGTTTCCTCTTCACCCCACAGCCTCCCCTCCCCCGAAACAGAACTGCAAGGCGGAGGTCAGTGGCTGCAGGGAAGAGCTGACCCCCAGAGGCCCCCAGCAAGCAGTCCACTCTGCCCCTGGAAGCTGCGGAACCAATCAGAATCCAGAAGAGAGTCACAGTCTGGAAACCAAGGTTTTCAGCTTAAAGCTTCAGGCAGGTGAGAGAGAAAAGGGTTTTTTATTGTATTCCAAGTGAAATCAAGAGCAAGCCTAAGCAAAGAAATCAATCCACAGCTCACAGTGAGAACAATCGGCATTCCTGTGCAGGGGCTGCTGGGCTCACAGGGGACAGCACGAGAGGTGAGGTGGAGTGAGCCCCGCACCTCCTTGAGATCAAGAAGAGCTGCAGTGAGCCTGTGGTGGTGGATCACTCAGGGTATCCAAAGAGACAACTCCAACAGGAGACCTATGCATACAGATAGGTGGTGACAGACAGCCAGATGATGGGTAGAGAGATAGATGATGGATGGATGGAGAGAGAAAGAGAGATGATGGATGGATAGGCAGGTAGATAGATGATGGATGGATAGATGATAGATGATGGATAGATAGAT